CACAGTGGTTTTAAACTGTTACATTGTTACAGTCTTGAGTGTTACATTGGTATTAAACTGTTACATTGTTACAGTCTTGATTGTTACATTGGTATTAAACTGTTACATTGTTACAGTCTTGATTGCTACATTGGTATTTAACTGTTACATTGTTACAGTCTTCATTGTTACATTGTTATTAACTGTTACACTGTTACAGTCCTGATTGTTATTGAAAGCTTGATATAATTCTGTCCTCAAAGGACATTGTGTAAGAGTACATTGTATTGCATGTAATAAGTAATATCGATAATAATAATAAATGTAATAAAGCAATGAAATATTAATATTCCAATGACACGGCAAATTCTACGACAGAATCACCATTCATAAACTTGCTATCCTTTACATATTCGGGAAAAGTTACACCTGGATGTTTCCCTGATTTTCATCAAGTAACCTTGATATGATTCTGTCATCAGTAGGATATTGTGTTCCTGTACATCGTATCGTAATATAAACAATAGCAACAAAAGTAATGAATGCATTAAAAATCTGTTGGCACAGCGTGTACTTTTACGACAGAATCACCATTTATAAACTTGCTACCTTCCTAAAGTTCAGAAAAACTTACAATGTTGCCCTTATTTTCATCAAACAAGCTTAATATGATTCATCGTAATAAGTAACAATAGTAATAAAAGCAATTAAAGCAAAAAAAATGAATGTTATTATGGTCGGACACAGCGTCTACTTCTCATAGAATCACCATTCCTAAAACTATGCTCTACATATTCAGGAAAACTTACATATGAATGTTCTCGTTTTTCACCATGTAAACTTGATATGGTGCTGTCATCAGAAGGAAATTGTGTGCCTGTACATTGTGTCCTAATGGGTAACATTAAGAACAAAACTAATAAAAGCAATGAAAAAAATTAATGATATACTGGCACAACGTCTACTTCTCACAGAATCACCATCCCTAAACTTCCGACCTTCCATTAATATTCAGGAAAGCTGAAAGTTAAATGTTTTCCTCATTTTCATTAAGTAAATTTGATATAATTCTGCCACAAGAAGGGCATTGGATGTCTGTACATTGTATCGTAATAATTACCAATAATTTAAAAAGTATTAATATATGAATGTTCCATTGGCACAACGACTACTTCTACCACAGAATTGCCAAATTGAATCCTAAAACTTTCCTCCAAATATTCAGGACAATTTATATATGAATGTTGTCTCTTTTCCATCAAGCAAACATGATATGACTCTTCCATCAAAATTCCATGTGCCT